TTTTCTACAGCTGCCAAAAAATTAATCCATGAACTTGAAAGGATTAATTTAAAATAAGTAGATACGTCTAAATTATTTAACCAAACATACTTGAATACATATATATATATATGTGTGTGTGTATGTGTGTACGTTTGTGTGTGCGCGCGCGCGTGTGTGTTGCCGTTATTTTTATTGGAAACGCGTATTTAAATAGATGCTCTGATTTTATTTATTTTATAAACCGTATATTTATTTATATCTGGCAGGATTCGAATCTGCGTTTCCCCCACCCCCAGGAGAAATCGTCATTAGATCTGATGTGCTTTGACCTCTCAGCAACGAAGAACCTTTTGATCAAAGCACGAATTGTGCTTTTAAACACAGAGCATTCCCGATTCTCCAAATATACTTCCCTGATCAGTTTCGTATTCTAGCGTATTTCCATATATATACATTGTGCGATGGGTAAATTGTTTCCATAATATATTTTTAATTTGGCACGTGACAATTGTTTTTTTTTTATCTTTTGTGGGCGGGAGGGTTGTCGATTTCACTGTATAGTAGAGTCAATTGTGCACCGTCTGTGGAAAAAAAGAACACCATGAATGGATTCACACCGACAAAAATTTGGAAACGGCACTCTGCACTGCTTGTCATTCGCACCGGAAGCTCCAATACGAATATTTCAGAATGATTGGGTGTCAATCTGAGGACTATGAAGAGAAGTCGGAAAGAGTTGGATGAGTCTAATGGTGATTAAGAAGGTATGACAGCTCAGAAATCTCACTCTGATCATTCTAAGATAAAAGGAACTACCGTTTCTTTTTTAACCTCAGACTCAACACAGAGGCCTATATCAAGACTCTGCGACATGTCATACAAGCAAGAATTGTAGCTGTCAGACAATTTCTGTGACCACATCACCCCTTACATTTGGCCACCTAACTCCCCAGACTGCAATCCACTTGATTATTATGTGTGGTGCGCAGTTGAGCGAGAGACCAACAAAATCTTGTAACATCAAAGATTAACCGAAGGCATGGATTATGGCAGCATTCACCAACTTAACAAGAAAACCGACCAGAAGAGTTGCAGCAGATTCCGAAGTCATGCCATTGTCTATTGCAATTTTATTGAATAAATTTACTCTTGATATTTTTGTGTAATTTTGATAAATATATCTGTTAAAATGTGATGTCGGTGTTATTTTAATTTTTGCGTAATTTAGACGACAATTTATTCCTCGCACCCACATATATATATATATATATATATATATATATATATATATATATATATATATATATATATATATATATGTGTGTGTGTGTGTGTGTGTGTGTGTGTGTGTGATAAAATATAGTTTTAAGGTATGTTGTATTTATGGGTTAATTGCACAATATCAGGGTTAGAGCGTATGTAGACATAAAAGTGGACATTGAAGTCAACACCCAGAGCCGACAGACTATTTTCGGCCATTGTTAGGCCATATATATATTATAAAGTCGCGTAGAAAATGGCACATTTAACAATATGTATATATGCAATAAATTTCAGTGAAACGAAATCACGTATTCTGTCTCCACCTATTTAAAACGGCTCCGAACCATTTATTCGAAAAATACAACAGTAAATGTATATCAAATCTGTATATAAAGCTCAAATTAAAACGGACATAACACAAAAAAGTATCCATAAATTTATAAAGGTACAATATAATCAACAGAAACTCTTTGAAAATGAATTATGAAATCCAAAATTACTTTGAAAAATTTAGATTCAAATTTTCCTTGAGACCGCAAAAAATGTTCTGAAACATAAAAACGACCAACAATAAAGACGACCAAGCGTAAGCGAAAACGGCCTTAAAAGAGAATTTCCCTCGGTCTTGAACACACACACACATTATATGTGTGTGTGTGTGTGTGCGCGCGCGCCCGCGTGTGTGATCGACCCTCCAGTCGACATCGGCGTGTGACGGTCTAACAGCACATTTCCAGCACTGGATTGAGTAACAGGTTTTGATCAAATACAATATATCTCAGGTCTTATAACCACCATATTCCCCAGGTTTCGCTACTATATATATCAGTGGCCAACATCGAATAGCAACAGACATAGCCTGAAGATTGCGTTCACATATGAAACAGACTGTCAACATTCGGTATTGACCACAGTATCCACTTTAATATTTTAATATTTACACATGCTCTGTCCCTGATATTAATCATTTTATATATACATATAGATATGTATATATATATATATATATGTGTGTGTGTGTGTGTGTGTGCCTGTGTTTAAACAAATGATATATATATATATATATATATATATATATATATATATATATATATATATATTTATTTGTTTAAATATATATATATATATATATATATATATATATATATATGTATGTACATATATATATGTTTAAAATAATAAATAATATATATATATATATATATATATATATATATATATATATATATAAATAAATATTCGTACACATGAAAATAGTATTTTTATAAATGTAAAAGCCTTAACTAAAGCAAATTTTGATACATTCTATGTGTAAAGATACATTTTATTAAAGAATAGTAATAAACTTCATTAATTCTTATTCTAACAGAAATTAATGCATTTTTTCATTTTAACTGATGAAAAAGTATTCGTACAAAACAAAAAAAGCATATTAACTTAATTTAATACTTTGTGAAATATCCTTTATTGAGTTCAACAGCTACCAGTCTATTCCTGTACGTCTCAAGTAATGATTTGCACACACTGAGTGGTATTTTGTCCCATTCTTCTTGGAATATTGTTTTCAAATTCTTGATATTTGTTGGTGCTCTTTTCCCAATTTGAATTTTCAAATATCGCCATAAATTCTCAATTGGGTTCAAGTCTAGGGACTGACTTGGCCATTGCAAGACATCAACGTTACTTTCAGCTAACCATTTCCTTGTAGATCTAGCGGTATGCTTAGGATCATTATCCAGTTGGAAAACCCAATCAGGAGGTAGCCGAAGTCTCTCAACAGAACGCATTAAATTGCCTTGCAGGATTTTTGGTATCTTTTGGCATTCATCTTGCCATCTATTATTGATATTCTGTCAACATCTTTTGCAGAACAACAGCCCCAGATCATGATACCACCCACCACCAAACTTTACGGTTGGCAACGTGTTCTTTGGTAAGTAGGCTTCACCGTCCTTCCTCCAAACATGATTTCGATAATTATTACCAAACAACTCTATTTTAGTCCATAGTGCTTTTTCCCAAAACGAATATTCTTTATCCTTATGCTCTCTAACGAATTTTAGCCTAGCATCTCTGTGTCATTTCAAGAGGAGTGGAGTCTTCCTTGGGATGCGTGATTTCAGACTGTTTTTGTGTAGTTCATTACTTATTGTACGCTTGGTTACTTTAATCCCTAATGCACGCAGATGTTCCTGCAGCTCTTCTCGGATAACCTGTGGATTTTGTTGGATCTGGTGTCCTAATATCCTTGCTGATCTTAGAGAAATCTTCCTCGGAGCACCTGTTCGTCTTTGGTTTTCGATGCTGTTACGAGTTTTAAACCTTGCAATGAACAAAGCAATTGTAGTAAAAGGAATATTCACGTTGTTAGAAATCGTTCAGTAATTGTTCCCATCTTTCCAAAGAGACAAAATGTGTTGTTTTTGTGAAATAGTCAATTCTTTACCTTTAGGCATTATTAGAACCTTCTTGTAACACTAGAAATTGCAGAATGCTCTGATAATGGCTAATAGCGTTAACTATAATTACTGATAACATTACTGAAACATTCTAGAATATACTTTTTTAATAATTAATTGCTTTTTTTGTTCTAATAATTGATTTGTACGAATAATTTTTTCACCAGTTAGAATTTAAAAAATGCATTAATTTCTGTTAGAATAAGAATTAATTAAGTTTATTAATATTTTTTAATAGTATGTGTCTTTATACATAAAATGTGCCGAGTAAGGCTTTTACATTTATAAAAATACAATTTTCAAGTGTACGAATATTTATTTCCCCAATGTATATATATATATATATATATATATATATATATATATATATATATATATATATATATATATAGATAGATAGATAGATAGATATATTATTTATTTGTTTACACAAATTTATTTGTTAAAACGATTTAATTCGTTGGTGTATGGCCTTTATTTTTTCAAAGAGTGTGTTACCTAAAATTAAAATGCGCCCCACTCGAAGATTATCATTAACAAGCAAGATACATTAGGCAAAAGAACAATGGTTCGCAGGAAAAAACAAGCTCTTTGACTGGAACTTATTTCTCACCTATTGAATACGAAAGTATTGTGGATGTGGCATCAGAGGGTCGAGTTCGTGTGTTGATAACTTTTCAAAAGGTATACTATATATATATATATATATATATATATATATATATATATATATATATATATATATATGATGTAAAAATACCCCAAACCTGAAAAACATTTTTTTTATCGTCAAAATGTTTGTTATTATTAAGAGGGAAGGCCAAAGTATTTTTTGATTATTTAATTAAATTTTGTCATCCTTTCTAGCACTTTCGAAATTTTAGTTAAAAAATCTAGTTTTTCTAGCGTCAGTGGGTATGACAAAGATTAGTATGTGGAAATTTAGTGTTATTTTTTAGGTAAAGAACATATAGTTTTGAAATTCTTACAAAAATCAAATAATTTTCAGATTGTGATGTAATTGTCAGGACTTATTTACAAATGATTGAAATTATTTTTTAAACCTTTGCTTTTGCAAAATCTGTTACCCCGCTTTTCCCACTTTGTCATATAATTTCTCCCCCAATATTACTCTTGATATATATATATATATATATATATATATATATATATATATATATATATATATATATAGATAGATAGATATAAAATTAAATAAAAAGCTTAACCGTAGTACCTTGTCTGTCATTTTTAATGAAACATGCATAAAGGAAGGATTGCTGCCTAAATATACACCTATAGATAGATAGATAGATAGATATAAAAGAAACGAGCTATCCTATAGTCTTTCATGTAGTAATATTTATTCTGCAATTTATAACAGAAATGTGGCCGAAATAGGGGAATGGTGAGAGGACGGTCTTCTTCTGTCTTAGTTTTAACTTAGTCACTGACCCAATCGTACGAATAATATTCTTTAAACCAAAACAACGCATTTATACGTACCTTTCGAACTACAAACACCATAATACCTCGTCGTCTCTATGAAAAACTAACTAAAGCCCATATATACAATACAATGTCTGTGAGGGGAGGGAAATATAACAATAATTCTAAAAATTAACCTCAATGTTTATTTACAATATGAGCACAATCTATTTACATGAAACTAAGGAAAATATTATTAGTAATAAAACCCCCCACTTTCGTGTAGTAAAAACGCTAAAATTCCTTCCTTTCTGCGGTACGACGAATCTCTGACTGATGCTAAATCCGTTGGGTTTCGATCCCGGCTTGAAACAATCGGCGGTATGTTTATATCATATTTAAATTATTATGTCAAGTTACACTGTTGAGCTGTGATAAAGCGAAACAGTCTGTCTGTGGATGACTATTTATGCTCCGGAAATAATTCGATTGAGGTCTCGGCGTGGCAAGGGTGATTTTATAAACAGTGGCTGCTGCTGTTGCTGCTGCTAATGCAATGCTGTTCTACAAGATCCGAGTTCTCCTAACCAGTTATGTCTTTTGTATAGCAAAAACGTTAAAAAAATTTTAATTTTTTTTTTTTTGTTTTTTTAATTTTTAAAGGAATTTCCCTTTCTCTCTGCCGTGCGACAATAATTTGGCGGTAGAATCTCTAACTGATGCCAAATCGGCAGGTTTCGATCCCGGCTTGAAACAATTGGATGTCTAGCCATATTGTTGAGCTGTGATACTACAAAACAGCCTGTCTGTGCGTGACTCTATTAATATATATATATATATATATATATATATATATATATATATATATAAAAAGAACTAATAAGAAATAAGATTGAGGGAAAACGGGCAACCGTTTTAATAATTGTGATACTTGACTAATCAATAAAGGTTGATCCAAACAAAACTGAAAATACCAAAGTTCTGTCTTTTTCGCCGTCTTCCCTTAATTCCTGACGAAGCTTTAAAAAAAAGTTAAACATTTTAGATTGAGATACGTTCCTTATTTCTTCTTTATCACATCATCCTATCCATATTTGATCTGCTGATCCACATTTCGTTTTAACTCATATATATATATATATATATATATATATATATATATATATATATATATATATATATAAAAGAAATATGTTGTAGTGGTTCCAACGAGAGAAAAATATGTATATTAAAAAAGAAGAGAAGAGAGGTGCCGGAAACGTTTTTGGTTGTAATGTGGATTTATTTAGAAAAAAAATATTATGCTTTTTTTTTACATAATTTTACGACACGTGTTTCTGGTCTCAAGACTGTCTTCAGGTAAAAGCGGAGATTTCCATATTATTAAAAATAATTAATTTTTTCCTTATGTTCAATGTTAAATATTCTCGATATGAGACATTCTCTGTTTGTGTGTTGGTAATCCGAATTTCTTTCTTGAATTTCAAGAAACGTTTGCGGTACCTCTCTTCTCTTCTTATATATATATATATATATATATATATATATTGCACTAAGGTTCATCCTGTACAAAGCCTGGGGGCACTCGAGGTAGAGAGTTTATACGGATAGGAGGGGACGATAAATGTTAGCTCTAGACATGAAGATGTTAACATGATAGTGATCGGAAAAACATCCTCTTGAGAGTCGGTTCCACAGAGCAACGGTTCGCAGGAAGAAACAATTTTTTTGACTGGAACTTCTCACCGATGGGATACAAAGGGAATCTAGGTGGCTTGCTACAATGTGAGTGGCATCAGAATGTTGAGATCGAATTCGAGTGCTGATACCTTTTGAAAGGTATGCTACACACACACACACACACACATAATTAGTATTTATAATATATATATATATATATATATATATATATATATATATATATATATACATATTTTCATATATATATATATATATATATATATATATATATATATATATATACGATAAAAATATAGTTTTCAGTTATGCTAATTCTATGTTTATGGGCGAAAGTGCTCAATATCAGGGATAGGACGTATCCAAATGTAAAAGTGGATATTGCGGTGTACATCTAGCGGCAACTGTCTGTTTCGTACCCAAATGCACACTTCATGCCATGTGTACTGTGTTTTGACTCGACTATTTATATATGTTATTCAATGGGGCATTATGGGTAGAAGGTATATTGTATAATCTAAAAAGTTACTGGATGTGTGGTAACAGTTATGTTTCAAATTATTCTAGACGCTATTTAGTTGGAGTAAAAATGTAGCCCGTAACACATGGAACTAGATAACTTCGAAAGAAACTTGACTAAATTTAATAAACAATTAGATGCTTTCCAGAAAAAAATAAAATGAGATATAAATAAAATAAATAATTCACTTAACAGAAAATCTAAAACAATAAATAAGTAAACATCCTAAGTAAATAATAAATAAATTAACAAATTACGAATAAACACATTAACAAACTATGAATGCACACATAAATACAACTAAATGTAACAATAATCAACAACAAATCATAAATTATTCAATAATAAAGAATGAATAAAAATTTAACGACATATAAAATAGATAAAAGTAATTGCATAGGGTTGACACCCGTTAGAATAGGGGCCGCCACAATACCCCCTAGAATAGGGACCACCACAAAAAACGCGATACCTAAGGTCAGCGAGGCCATTCTGAGAGGATTGAAAACCCTGCCGTGATTTAGCATTGGGGACCACAACCTTTAAAACATAAGATACTCAATTGACACAGTACTGATAGCAGACACAGAAAAGAAATTACAAAATATCTTACAGAAGATAGCGACTGAGGGTGAAAAGAAAGGTCTAAGCATAAACTACAAGCAGACAAAAAGCATGGTCATCAGTAAGAGGAAAAGCCCGAAATGCGATTTGCAAGTCGAGAACACTAGAATCAAGCAGACGTGGAAGTTTAAATATCCAGGAAGCTTCTTGAGAGAGGAAGGTAAGTGCGACACTGAAATACGTAGACGTGTTGGAATGGCCAAAGACACATTCCAAAAGCTGGGCAAAGTATTGCGAGACAGGAGGATTTCTTTGGTAACAAAGAATACTGCGCTGTTACGTGACATCTCGCCTTCTTTACGGCAGCGAATGTTGGAGGATTTCCTCAAAGATGTAGAAGAGACTCGAGGCGACGGTGATTTTGTTCTACAGAAGGATGCTAAGGATATCGAGCGTGTGAGCAACGACGAGGTCTTATAGAGGCTGCAAACAAGGAGAAGGCTTATACTTAACATCAGGAAGAGGCAGCTGAAGTTTCTGGGACATAATGAGTAAGTAGGCCCTGGAGAATCTCATACTCACGGGTCGAATAGAAGGAAAGAGAGACAAGGGAAAGCAGTGCATGACATACCTGGCGAGCTTGGGCGTGTGAATGACAGAACGTGGTCTGGGAGAGGAAGCAGAGAGAAGAATGACAGAACGTGGTCTGGGAGAGGAAGCAGAGAGAAGAATGACAGAACGTGGTCTGGGAGAGGAAGCAGAGAGAAGAATGACAGAACGTGGTCTGGGAGAGGAAGCAGAGAGAAGAATGACAGAACGTGGTCTGGGAGAGGAAGCAGAGAAGAATGACAGAACGTGGTCTGGGAGAAGAAGCAGGAGAAGAATGACAGAACGTGGTCTGGGAGAAGAATGACAGAACGTGGTCTGGGAGAGGAAGCAGAGAGAAGAATGACAGAACGTGGTCTGGGAGAGAAGAGAGAAGAATGTCTGGTCTGAGAGAGGGAAGCAGAGAGAAGAATGACAGAACGTGGTCTGGGAGAGGAAGCAGAGAAGAATGAAGAAGAGAGAAGAATGACAGAACGTGGTCTGGGAGAGGAAGCAGAGAGAGTGAAAATGACAGAACGTGGTCTGGGAACGAGGAAGCAGAGAGAAGAATGACAGAACGTGGTCTGGGAGAGGAAGCAGAGAGAAGAATGACAGAACGTGGTCTGGGAGAGGAAGAGAGAAGAATGACAGAACGTGGTCTGGGAGAGGAAGCAGAGAGAAGAATGACAGAACGTGGTCTGGGAGAGAGGAAGCAGAGAGAAGAATGATCTGGGAGAGGAAGCAGAACGACAGAACGTGGTCTGGGAGAGGAAGCAGAGAGAAGAATGACAGAACGTGGTCTGGGAGAGGAAGCAGAGAGAAAGAATGACAGAACGTGGTCTGGGAGAGGAAGCAGAGAGAAGAATGACAGAACGTGGTCTGGGAGAGAAGCAGAGAAAATGAATGACAGAACGTGGTCTGGGAGAGGCAGAGAGAGAATGACAGAACGAGAATGACAGAACGTGGTCTGGGAGAGGAAGCAGAGAGAAGAATGACAGAACGTGGTCTGGGAGAGGAAGCAGAGAAGAATGACAGAACGTGGTCTGGGAGGACTGGGAGAGGAAGAAGCAGAGTGGTCTGGGAGAAAGAATGACAGAACGTGGTCTGGGAGAGGAAGCAGAGAGAAGAATGACAGAACGTGGTCTGGGAGAGGAAGCAGAGAGAAAGAATGACAGTGGTCTGGGAGAGAAGGAAGAAGAGAGAAGAAGAATGACAGAACGTGGTCTGGGAGAGGAAGCAGAGAAGAATGACAGAACGTGGTCTGGGAGAGGAAGCAGAGGAAGAATGACAGAACGTGGTCTGGGAGAGGAAGCAGAGAGAAGAATGACAGAACGTGGTCTGGGAGAGGAAGCAGAGAGAGAATGGTCTGGGAGAACGAGGAAGAATCTGGTCTGGGAGAGGAAGCAGAGAGAAGAATGACAGAACGTGGTCTGGGAGAGGAAGAATGACAGAGAGGGAAGAATGACAGAACGTGGTCTGGGAGAGGAAGCAGAGAGAAGAATGACAGAACGTGGTCTGGGAGAGGAAGAAGAGAGAAGAATGACAGAACGTGGTCTGGGAGAGGGAAGAATGACAGAACGTAGTCTGGGAGAGGAAGCAGAGAAGAATGACAGAACGTGGTCTGGGAGAGGAAGCAGAGTGAAGAATGACAGAACGTGGTCTGGGAGAGGAAGCAGAGAGAAGAATGACAGAACGTGGTCTGGGAGAGAAGGAAGCAGAGAGAAGAATGACAGAACGTGGTCTGGGAGAGAAGCAGAGAGAAGAATGACAGAACGTGGTCTGGGAGAGGAAGCAGAGAGAAGAATGACAGAACGTGGTCTGGGAGAGGAAGCAGAGGGAAGAATGACAGAACGTGGTCTGGGAGAGGAAGCAGAGAGAGAAGAATGACAGAACGTGGTGACTGGGGAGAGGAAGCAGAGAGAAGAATGACAGAACGAACGTGGTCTGGGAGAGGAAGAGAGAAGAATGACAGAACGTAGTCTGGGAGAAAGCAGAGAGAAGAATGACAGAACGTGGTCTGGGAGAGGAGGAAGCAGAGAAGAATGAGAACAGAAAGCGAGAAGAATGACAGAACGTGGTCTGGGAGAAGAAGCAGAGAGAAGAATGACAGAACGTGGTCTGGGAGAGGAAGCAGAGAGAAGAATGACAGAACGTGGTCTGGGAGAGGAAGCAGAGAAAGAATGAAGAATGACAGAACGGAATGACAGAACGTGGTCTGGGAGAGGAAGCAGAGAGAAGAATGACAGAACGTGGTCTGGGAGAGGAAGAAGAGAGAAGAATGACAGAACGTGGTCTGGGAGAGGAAGCAGAAAAGAATGACAGAACGTGGTCTGGGAGAGGAAGACAGAGAGAGGAAGCAGAGAGAAGAATGACAGAACGTGGTCTGGGAGAGGAAGCAGAGAGAAGAATGACAGAACGTGGTCTGGGAGAGGAAGCAGAGAGAAGAATGACAGAACGTGGTCTGGGAGAAGAAGATGAACGGTAGAGAGAAGAATGACAGAACGTGGTCTGGGAGAGGAAGCAGAGAGAAGAATGACAGAACGAACGTGGGGGAGAGGAAGCAGAGAAGAATGACAGAACGGGTCTGGGAGAGGAAGCAGAGAGAAGAATGACAGAATGGGTCTGGGAGAGAGCAGAGAGAAGAATGACAGAACGTGGTCTGGAACGTGAGAGAAAGCAGAGAGAGAAGAATGACAGAACGTGGTCTGGGAGAAGAGAGAGAAGAATGACAGAACGAGAAGAATGAATGACAGAACGTGGTCTGGGAGAGGAAGCAGAGAAAGAATGACAAGAATGACAGAACGTGGTCTGGGAGAGGAAGCAGAGAGAAGAATGACAGAACGTGGTCTGGGAGAGGAAGCAGAGAAGAATGACAGAACGTGGTCTGGGAGAGGAAAGAGAGAAGAATGACAGAACGTGGTCTGGGAGAGGAAGAGAGAATGACAGAACGTGGTCTGGGAGAGGAAGAGAGAAAGAATGACAGAACGTGGTCTGGGGGAAGAGGAAGCAGAGAGAGAATGACAGAACGTGGTCTGGGAGAGGAAGCAGAGAGAAGAATGACAGAACAGAGGAAGAGAGAAGAATGAACGACAGAACGTGGGGAGAGGAAGCAGAGAAGAATGACTGGGAGAGGAAGCAGAGAAGAATGACAGAACGTGGTCTGGGAGAGGAAGCAGAGAAGAATGACAGAACGTGGTCTGGGAGAGGAAGCAGAGAGAAGAATGACAGAACGTGGTCTGGGAGAGGAAGCAGAGAGAAGAATGACAGAACGGCAAAGAATGGTCTGGGAGAGGAAGCAGAGAGAAGAATGACAGAACGAAGGTGGTCTGGGAGAGAGAAGAAAGAATGACAGAACGTGGTCTGGGAGAGGAAAGAAGAGAGAAGAATGACAGAACGTGGTCTGGGAGAGGAAGCAGAGAGAAGAATGACAGAATGAACGTGGTCTGGGAGAGGAAGCAGAACGTGGTCTGGGAGAAGAATGACAGAACGTGGTCTGGGGAGAGGAGGAAGAATGACAGAACGTGGTCTGGGAGAGAAGAAGAATGACAGAACGTGGTCTGGGAGAGAAGGAGAGAAGAATGACAGAACGAGAAAGAATGACAGAACGTGGTCTGGGAGAGGAAGCAGAGAGAAGAATGACAGAACGTGGTCTGGGAGAGGAAGCATAGAAGAATGACAGAGAGAGAAGAATGACACAACGTGGTCTGGGAGAGAAAGAAACCAGAGGGAAGAATGACAGAACGTGGTCTGGGAGAGGAAGCAGAGAGAAGAATGACAGAATGGTCTGGGAGAGGAAGCAGAGAGAAGAATGACAGAACGTGGTCTGGGAGAGAGAAGCAGAGAGAAGAATGACAGAACGTGGTCTGGGAGAGGAAGCAGAGAGAAGAATGACAGAACGTGGTCTGGGAGAGGAAGCAGAGAGAAGAATGACAGAACGTGGTCTGGGAGAGGAAGGAAGAACAGAGAAGCAGAGAGAAGAATGACAGAACGTGGTCTGGGAGAGGAAGCAGAGAGAAGAATGACAGAACGTGGTCTGGGAGAGAGAAGAATGACAGAACGTGGTCTGGGAGAGGAAGCAGAGAGAAGAATGAAGAATGACAGAACGTGGTCTGGGAGAGGAAGCAGAGAAGAGAAGAATGACAGAACGTGGTCTGGGAGAGGAAGCAGAGAAAGAATGACAGAACGTGGTCTGGGAGAGGAAGCAGAGAGAAGAATGACAGAACGTGGTCTGGGAGAGGAAGCAGAGAGAAGAATGACAGAACGTGGTCTGGGAGAGAGGACAGAACGTGGTCTGGGAGAAGCAGAGAGAAGAATGACAGAACGTGGTCTGGGAGAGGAAGCAGAGAGAAGAATGACAGAACGTGGTCTGGGAGGGAAGCAGAGACAAGAGAACGAGAGGAAGCAGAGAATGACAGAACGTGGTCTGGGAGAGGAAGCAGAGAGAAGAATGACAGAACGTGGTCTGGGAGAGGAAGCAGAGAAAGAATGACAGAACGTGGTCTGGGAGAGGGAAGCAGAGAAGAATGACAGAACGTGGTCTGGGAGAGGAAGCAGAGAAGAATGACAGAACGTCTGGGAGAGGAAGCAGAGACAAGAATGACAGAACGTGGTCTGGGAGAGGAAGCAGGAGAGGACAGAACGTGGTCTGGGAGAGAAGAAGAATGACAGAACGTGGTCTGGGAGAGGAAGCAGAGAGGAAGAATGACAGAACGTGGTCTGGGAGAGAGGAAGCAGAGAAGCAGAGAGAATGACAGAACGTGGTCTGGGAGAGGAAGCAGAGAGAAGAATGACAGAACGTGGTCTGGGAGAGGAAGCAGAGAGAAGAATGACAGAACGTGGTCTGGGAGAGGAAGCAGAGAAGAATGACAGAATGGTCTGGGAGAGACAGAACGTGGTCTGGGAGAGGAAGCAGAGAGAAGAATGACAGAACGTGGTCTGGGAGAGGGGGAGGAAGCAGAGAGAAGAATGACAGAACGTGGTCTGGGAGAGGAAGCAGAGAAGAATGACAGAACGTGGTCTGGGAGAGGAAGCAGAGAGAAGAATGACAGAACGTGGTCTGGGAGAGGAAGCAGAGAGAAGAATGACAGAACGTGGTCTGGGAGAGGAAGCAGAGACAAGAATGACAGAACGTGGTCTGGGAGAGGAAGCAGAGAGAAGAATGACAGAACGTGGTCTGGGAGAGGAAGCAGAGAGAAGAATGACAGAACGTGGTCTGGGAGAGGAAGAGAAGAATGACAGAGAGAGAAGAATGACAGAACGTGGTCTGGGAGAGGAAGCAGAGAGAAGAATGACAGAAGAACGTGGTCTGGGAGAGGAAGCAGAGAGAAGAATGACAGAACGTGGTCTGGGAGAGGAAGCAGAGAAAATGACAGAACGTGGTCTGGGAGAGGAAGCAGAGACAAGAATGACAGAACGTGGTCTGGGAGAGAAGAATGACAGAAGCAGAGAGAAGAAGAATGACAGAACGAGAAGAAGAGAGAAGAATGACAGAACGTGGTCTGGGAGAGGAATGACAAGAATGACAGAACGTGGTCTGGGAGAGGAAGCAGAGAATGAAGAATGACTGGGAGAACGTGGTCTGGGAGGGAGGAAGCAGAGAGAAGAATGACAGAACGTGGTCTGGGAGAGGAAGCAGAGAGAAGAATGACAGAACGTGGTCTGGGAGAGGAAGAGAAGAATGACAGAATGAGAACGAGAAGAATGACAGAACGTGGTCTGGGAGAGGAAGCAGAGAGAAGAATGACAGAACGTGGTCTGGGAGAGGAAGCAGAGAATGACAAGAATGACAGAACGTGGTCTGGGAGGGAAGCAGAGAGAAGAAGAATGACAGAACGTGGTCTGGGAGAGGAAGCAGAGAGAAGAATGACAGAACGTGGTCTGGGAGAGGAAGCAGAGAGAAGAATGACAGAACGTGGTCTGGGAGAGGAAGCAGAGACAAGAATGACAGAACGTGGTCTGGGAGAGGAAGCAGAGAGAAGAATGACAGAACGTGGTCTGGGAGAGGAAGCAGAGACAAGAATGACAGAACGTGGTCTGGGAGAGGAAGCAGAGAGAAGAATGACAGAACGTGGTCTGGGAGAGGAAGCAGAGAGAAGAATGACAGAACGTGGTCTGGGAGAGGAGAATGACAGAACGAAATAAGAATGACAGAGAGAGGAAGCAAGAAAGAATGACAGAACGTGGTCTGGGAGAGGGAAGCAGAGAGAAGAATGACAGAACGTGGTCTGGGAGAGGAAGCAGAGACAAGAATGACAGAACGTGGTCTGGGAGAGGAAGCTGAGAGAAGAATGACAGAACGTGGTCTGGGAGAGGAAGCAGAGAATGACAGAACGTGGTCTGGGAGAGAAGGACAGAACGTGGTCTGGGAGAGAAGCAGAGAAAACGAATGACAGAACGTGGTCTGGGAGAGGAAGCAGAGAGAAGAATGACAGAACGTGGTCTGGGAGAGGAAGCAGAGAAGAATGACAGAACGTGGTCTGGGAGATGACAGAACGTGGTCTGGAGAACGTGGTCTGGGAGAAGAATGACAGAACGTGGTCTGGGAGAGAGAAGAGATGACAGAACGTGGTCTGGGAGAGGAAGCAGAGAGAAGAATGACAGAATGGTCTGGGAGAGGAAGCAGAGACAGAACGTGTTCTGGGAGAGGAAGCAGAGAGAAGAATGACAGAACAGTGGTCTGGGAGAGGAAGCAGAGAAGAAGAATGACAGAACGTGGTCTGGGAGAGGAAGCAGAGACAAGAATGACAGAACGTGGTCTGGGAGAGGAAGAAGAATGACAGAACGTGGTCTGGGAGAGGAAGAATGACAGAACGTGGTCTGGGAGAGGAAGCAGAGAGAAGAATGACAGAACGTGAGAGGAAGCAGAGAGAAGAATGACAGAACGTGGTCTGGGAGAGGAAGCAGAGAGAAGAATGACAGAACGTGGTCTGGGAGAGGAAGCAGAGAAAGAATGACAGAACGTGGTCTGGGAGAGGAAGCAGAGAGAAGAATGACAGAACGTGGTCTGGGAGAGGAAGCAGAAGAATGACAGAACGTGGTCTGGGAGAGGAAGCAGAGAAAGAATGACAGAACGTGGTCTGGGAGAGGAAGCAGAGAGAAGAATGACAGTGGTCTGGGAGAGGAAGAGAGAGAAAGAATGACAGAACGTGGTCTGGGAGAGGAAGCAGAGAGAAGAATGACAGAACGTGGTCTGGGAGAGAGGAAGCAGAGAGAAGAATGAGAGAAGCAGAGAATGACAGAACGTGGTCTGGGAGAGGAAGCAGAGAAGAATGACAGAACGTGGTCTGGGAGAGGAAGCAGAGAATGAAGAATGACAGAACGTGGTCTGGGGAGAACGTGGTCTGGGAGAGGAAGCAGAGAAGAAGAATGACAGAAGAAGAATGACAGAACGTGGTCTGGGAGAGGAAGGAGAGCAGAACGAAGAATGACAGAACGTGGTCTGGGAGAGGAAGACAGAGAGAAGAATGACAGAACGTGGTCTGGGAGAGGAAGCAGAGAGACAAGAATGACAGAACGTGGTCTGGGAGTCTGGGAGAGGGAAGCAGAGAGAAGAATGACAGAACGAGAGGAAGAAGAGAAGAATGACAGAACGTGGTCTGGGAGAGGAAGCAGAGAAATGAAGAACGTGACAGAACGTGGTCTGGGAGAGGAAGCAGAGAGAAGAATGACAAACGTGGTCTGGGAGAGGAAGCAGAGAAGAATGACAGAACGTGGTCTGGGAGAGGAAGCAGAGAGAAGAATGACAGAACGTGGTCTGGGAGAGGAAGCAGAGAGAAGAATGACAGAACGTCTGGGAGAGGAAGCAGAGAGAAGAATGACAGAACGTGGTCTGGGAGAGAGCAGAGAGAATGACAGAACGAGGAAGCAGAGAAGAATGACAGAACGTGGTCTGGGAGAGGAAGCAGAGAGAAGAATGACAGAACGTGGTCTGGGAGAGGAAGCAGAGAGAAGAATGACAGAACGTGGTCTGGGAGAGGAAGCAGAGAGAAGGAACAAGGGGTAGAGGGAGATTGAAAACTATGATCGACTAATTTAAATTGACTGGAATGAGTATTATCTTTGCAAAAATAGTGGATTACCGCGCATTTTTAGTTGTTTTTCATCGCCATATAATTATCTTCATTAAAAAATCTTTCAAAATAAATTATACTTTTCTGAATCTTTATTTGAGTAATATTAGCTGATTTAAATTATGTCACAGTCTGCGCCAGCTTCTTTCTGTCCACCGTCAGCTTCTATCACTTCAGGCCATTTCATTGACAATATAACTCAATATGACCATAAATAATAAAAAAGTCAACCTAAACCAGCTCTAAAAAATCACCTAAATCCTTTGACCTTTCCTTCTCCAACATCCGTGTCATTCGATCCAACGTCTGCAATGTGGAATCGATCCTCGTTGAGAAGTCTCATGATATACTAGCTCTCTGCGAGACCAACCTTAACTCGTAAATCCCCTCCTCAGAGTTTTCGATCCCAGGTTACCTTCCTCTCCTTAGAAAGGACTCTAAAAATCACATGCCTGGCATTAGAGTTCACGCCCGGGACCATCACCCATTGGCTAGGGAATTCTTTCTTGAATTTCCAGACCATTCATACATGTGCCACCATCTATCCCTCCCCAATTCTGTAATATATATCTTTCTTTATCGCTCTCCATCCTCCCAAGACTGTGGTGTACTTGATAGCATTTCCGACAATTTAGACAAGGCCATCTCTCTACATCCGTTTGCACATATATACGTGTTCGGTGACTTTAACGCCCACCATACCAAGTTGGTTAAACACTCTATAACTGACCTTGCTGGCATACAAACCGTTAACTTTTCAATTACTCAATCCCTCATACAAGTGGTTACTTTCCCACGTGTTTCCTCGGTAAGTAGGACGGTTAGGCTTCCCTTCTCGATCTCTGTTTTACCTCCATCCCCGAGTCTTGTCATGCCACGTAGCTCTGCCCTCTTGGCAACTCTGATAATGCCGTAGCGTCTGTTAAACATCTTCTGCCTCTCATTCCCAGCAAGGAACCTCCAACCAATAGATCATCTTTCTGTCACCAACGAGCAGATTGGGATTCGTTCCATGATTTCCTTCGTGATGTCCCCTGAAATCTGGTTTTTAATCTCCCCGTTCAAAAATGTGCTTCTGAGTTCTCCTCCTGGGTAAAAGCTGCAATCGAAGCTTTCAATCCCTCAAGAAAATATAATGTTAAATCGGGCTCATCTCCTTGGTTCTCAGCTGCATGCTCATCTGTGGTTGCTCATAGGAATCATTTCTTCCGTCTGTATCGTAGCGACATGTCTGATTACAACAGGCGTCTCTCTGTCTCTGACCTTAATGGGTATATGCGTGTCACCAATGTAGCAAAGTTAGAATTTGCTGGAAGAATAAAACAAAGTATTGCATCTCGCAAGTTTGGTTCTAAAGATTATTGGCATCTCCGCAACAGCGTGCTGAACAATAGCAAATCCACGATACCTCCTTTATTGAATCAATTTCAGGTCTTGACTTTCTCAGCTGAATGCTTTGCTCGGAAATTCTCATCCAATTCATCGCTTGACATCCGGTGTACCCACACACGATTTCCTCCCTGAAAATGAGGCTCTATTGAGTCAGATGCACATGACCCAATCGATGGTATTGGACACCGTCTCTAAATTAGACTTCCATATGTTTAGTGGTGGGGACAGGATACCAACCGTTGTCCTGAAGAAATGTGCTCCTGAACTGGCTCCTGTCCTCTCCAAAGTACACAACTACTGCTTCACCGACTCTTGCTTTCCACACTGTTGGAAGTCCTCATCTGTTGTTACTGTCTTTGAAGACTCTTCTGACCCCTTTAACTACCGTCCTATCAGTCTCCTATCACTCTTCGATAAAGTCTTCAAGAAGTAGTTAAGCACCTTACATCCCATGAGCTGCAATATGGTTTTCGCTTTGCCCGATCTGATGTGCTCACGGCCAAAATTGAATTTGTATACCAAGTATTTCACAATAACGGAAAAGCTCGAGCTGTAGCTCTATATATCCCTAAGGCGTTGATAGGGTTTGACATGCTGGCCTTCGTCGTAAGCTTCAGGGATACGGCCTAAATCGGACTGTGTTATGTTGGTAGGATTACCTATGCGCACGACAGCGGGGTGCTGGTAATTTAGAATTTCTTTTTAGATTTTTTTTTTATCTAGCCTAATTCATTTAGAGTATTTTTCCTTTTTCTTTCAATAACTTTTGTAAGTTGGAATTTCAAACTGTGATCTGCCAGTTGTATGATCCAGGGCGCCAACGTACAGAAGATGACCTTGCGATTAAGTCACTTTCTAGACATTTACATCGTAGTGAATTATTTTCTCCTTTGATCAGAGTAGAATTTTCTGTCAAAGTTGTTGTCAATCTCGTTACGGTGGGAAACCAACGCATTTTATGTATATTTTGTAAAATCTCCCTTTTGTTCTAATATAATCTTTTATTTAAATTTCTATGTAGTTTTGTAACAATTATTACAGGCCATCGAGTAAATTCCTCCTTCAGGTTTTAGCTTATTGTTTAGTTTAGTACTGACTAAGTCTTTATTGTTTTGGATATAATAGTAACAACTTTTATGTTGGGTTTAGAAAGATTCTTTTCGAGGGGAAGTGTATCCAGACGAACGTAATTCTCTCAGCCTCTCCATATGTATCAACCCTATTCTTTGAAGGCCTTAATAATCGTATATTTCGGTCCGGTGACTGTAACTGGTAAGATGCCTTAGGTGATTCTTAAGATAACCAACTACGACTGCGTTGGAAGACTTGTACAATTCCATCTTCTGACTTTGCGACAGTACAGTTTTCTCCTTGTATAAATCTAAAGCATTTACAATGTTCCAAATAATTAACTCTCTCTATCCATCACTCTCACAAATGCTGACGTATAAGTCAATCCTTCAACTGCTGAGCTGTTCGTTAAGGTATTCATCTATTTGCTTCATAAATCGACCTTAAAAAAAAAAGAGAGAAAGAAAAAAAAAAGGGATAGAAAGAGAAAATAAGAAGGTCGGGCAGCCCCATAAATCTGTCAAGTGGATATATGATGGATGAGGGGAGATTCATTATAATTTTAAAAACAATCGACATATCCAACAGCATGTGCTGTACCTCCACTCATATGCGCCAGTCATTCGGAACTAGTGGGGTATATATTCGTTTTTGCCCGTTCGTCTATATGAAATCCTGTTTGGTGGTTGAGGCGGTTGTGTATTTTACCCTGCTGCCTACAGCTGATGGCCAGCGTACTGAATAAACTGATTTTCTGACACTGGTTGTTATAGTCATAGGAAAAGATATACGAAATACGATATTCTAATTTCGTTGTTATATGTACTTGTAAAATATGCAATACCTCCAAGATGTATATCGCGATTTTTTGTATATTCCCCACACACAGACATAAACATACACACGCACACACACACACATTTTTAATTGAGCACTGTTGAATGACAAGCGGACACCTACGTAAATGTGAAGCTCTTCAGTAAAAGGAATCGAGCACTTTGGCTGATTGGCGTTTGTTAAAACAACACACTAGATTTGGCCGACTCGTTCTGTCGAGTGAAGATGGGTCAGTGGTAGAAACTCTGACTAACACCAAATCGGTTGGGTTTCGCTCCGGGCTTGCGGCATTCTAGTGTCTAGGGTGTCTAGTCGCACTGAGCAGCTGTGATACAACGAAACAGTACGGTCTGCGAATGACATATATGTTATTCGTAGACAGTACTGTTTTGTATGAATTATATATATATATATAGATAGATAGATAGTATTCGTAGACTGTACTGTTTCGTTGTATCACAGCTCCTCAGTGCGATTAGACACCTGAATACTTCAAGCCCGTATCGAAACCCAACCGATATGGTGTCAGTCAGAGTTTCTACCACCGAGCCATCTTGAATTCTATATGCTTTCTCATGCCTGTATAATATATGCTCTGCTACAGTTACTCAGAATTCTCTTCTTGACAGGTTGCCAACCACAGCTAGAAAAACCAATTTGCCCTGCTATTTAATCAGTAGCTGAATAGAAAGAAATAATATTTATTTTTATTAATCTAAGTGTGTCTTTCTTTTATGGAATTATTTAATTTAATTTTTATAATTCACTACCTTAGTGTAAAACAAACCCTTTCAGCGCTCAGATTATTGGCGTGTTCAAGTGGCAAAATTTATTCAGCGAAAACTTAGAAATGTTTTTAATATTTATCAAGTTGTGTAATCGTTTCTGATGTCAGCCCACTGAAGTAGGAAGTTTAAATGCGTTTGTGAGAATTCAAGCTCGAAAAATGATTACTTTATGAATTTACAAAACGAAACATTGATTAGCATCTAAAATGTTGCCTTTTTCGAAGGCGGAACCGGTCTTACACGTTTATAGATCTGCCATTGGTCCATACATTGGATATTACAGTCACATCTGGTCTGGTGCTTTTGCTGTGTATTTAGAGATTCTTGATAGCATACAAAGAAGGATCTTCAATGTTATTGATCCTAAACGGGCATCTCAGCTTCAATCACTTTGCCAAAATGTAGCTACCTTATGCCATTTCTATAAATATTTCCACGGTAATTCTTCTGATCAGTGTCCCTCTTTGGTAGCTCGACTTTACGAACTGAAGCGCAGTACTAGATTGACAGCTAGGTCTCATCATTTTACTGTTGAAATGACTCGATGTAAACGTAAGCTATATATTAACAATTGATTCTCTTGCTCTTCTTGCTTGTAGAACTTACTTCAGACTTTTTGCTTTCTAGTCAACTTTGATCTACAAACATTTAAGTGTAATATCAATCGTTAACATTGTCTTCTTAATTTCTCTTATCTTATTATTCCCTCTCCTTTTCTAAGCAAGTTCACCCCAAGCAAGGGAATAAAGCCACCAAGACACAAGGGATTAATGGCTGTGAAAGAATTAGGAAAAGACAATTATTACTAAGGATCGAGAACAAAAGAAAAGTTATCAGGAAGACAGTAGATAGCGATTGGTAATTCCATTTGAATTTTCGAAGAATAAAGTTGGCTAGAAAATCAAGGAGCCGGAAGAGATTTCCACACGCGGGAAGTGCGAGAAAAGAAACTTTTAGCACAGAACTTGAATCTAGCCAACTGAACTGTACATTGGTGAGACCTCGTCGCCAGTCTCGTATTGTGCTTAAATTCATAAAGTCTAGGTACAATCATTTTCTCTTACTCTTTCACATTCAGTGGCTCCTTGCATCTTAGTGGCTTTATTGCCTTGCTTGCGAGTGAAATCATTTTTTAAAAACTTATTTTCGGATAGTATAACTGTTATTGGCACAGAGAGTAAAATCGGCAAGCCGTTTTCATATTCTCACTGGATCTGTTTCGTTTATTTCAAACTAATGCCCTTGTAAACATTAACCCAATCTCCCGCATCTATGGATTAAATAGTAGCATGGATTCGGTTCTCTTCAATTGCTTGCGAAGGAAATGGATAATTATGAATTCAAAACCAACCAGAAGAGGGATAGAACCCATCAAGTTATTTTGCCTAGATAAACTCATTGCTTCTATGCTAGCATCACATTTGGCGACTTAAGGATCTTAAATAATCGGTGGTGCCATGATCGTTCCCAAAGAATTTTCTGGGAAATATGCAATTTAAGTAAATCGTGACCTCATATAAGACCTTGTAAAATGTTTTGATGATAAAATAAGCGCTTAGAATTTATAAAAATAAAAGTATTTTTAGAAGAAAGAGTGGAAACCTTTGAAACAACATAATAACGCTTTTAAATAAATTTATACAATTTAAATCTCTGTGAAAATCCTTTTTATTTCCAGGTTAAATTTATTTTTACGAATTGTCGAGGGAACATTTACATTTGGTATTTAAACGTTAAACATTTTTATGCTTTTCTTTCCAAAAGAAATAGTTGATCTCTATTTAAATATTTTTTCTCTTTGCGATAGTAATGAGCATTTTACTTTTCATTCATAGAGTCTGAAATATGTAATTAAAGGAAAATGTCTATCCCAATGAGATTCATCAGGACGAGGCTCTGATAATTACATGAATGGAACACTTGTTTAACAAGCACGTAAAGTCTAAGTGGAAAAAAAATTTCTGTTGTAGAGTGATGGCTGTTAAAGTAGGCGCACAAATCTAATCTAGTGTTTTGAGTCCCATCGACACGGGGTGTCTCTGTAATGTGACTAATATATATATATATATATATATATATATATATATATATATATATATATATATATATATATATTTTATATTTTTTTTTAATCTGACATTTTTCGCATTACCATGAACGTTATATTTAATGGGTACCTATATTTGAGTGGGCGTATCTGATATTTTAACTGGTAAAATTAAATCAGTATAGTAATCGAAAATCTCTTAGTAAAGAAAAATGTGCCTGTATTCTTTTGCTTTATCAGCATAATTTGCCGTATATGCGACATTCGTCCGCTAAAGGAATGGGCTCCCTGATAGAAAAAAGGGAATATAGGTTCGATTCATTTTTTTATTTAGTAAGGACTTCTCGATTTCCAGGCCGATTAACATTAATTTCATTGTTTAAAGTTACAGTGACGCCACCTCAAACATGTATACCCTCGAAAAATAACGTTTATAATCAAAAGAATATATATATATGTGTGTGTGTGTGTGTGTGTGCGTGTGAGTGAGTGAATGAGGGTGTGTATTTAGGGCGTGATTTAAATGGGCACATTATTTGAAATTTCTACTCAATTACCAACAGCCGTTATTCGAATCGTTACTTAGTGGATTTTTTTGTAAGCCATTTTGTGAGCCTATATAGACATATTGAAATGAACTGAGTGAAAAGCCTTTAGAAGTAGCCGATCTTATTTGTATATTCAAGATATCCGATAATGCTCGCGTAAAAGGCGATGCATTAGATTAACACGAAAGTCTTCAGCATCTTCTTTTGCGTAATATAGGGAAAATTCTGCAGTTTCCTGAAATCTTTATAGTCTATTTTTTAATAAGAGCGTCATTTCGATAGTATCACGATTCCCGCTTGGGTTTATTTCACTTGTAATGTTTTATATGTCACGGGTTTGATGGAGACCATCCCTCTGGTTCCGAATTTAGAGGTGTAAACTGCCTCTTGGAGAAGTAAAACTGAATTGGAAAAACGACTAAACGCGAGACTGGCAACTTCAACAATCAAAAGCCAACTTGCTACAGAAACCATGGAACAACGCTGATGATATTGTGGCTCTATACAGCATAGGGGTATAATGGTTAATTTATAAATTTATTTATTTTTATAGACTGTAAGAAAAGATGTCTCCAAATACTTCTACTTGTAAAAATTAAGGGAAAAGAAAATGTGTTATGTTCGGATTAATGTCCTTATCTTTATTGTTTTTATCATAATTGTTATGGGCTCCACCCCTTTTTCATACAAGTGGACTCGACCAGTGTGTACTTGGACTGCTGCCGTTAAATACTCAGAGTCAGTCAGGACAGAAAGACAGAGATTGTGATTGAGTTGGAGGTAGAGTAATAGTGTGAGGTAACCGCTTGTAGAAGTCACAGTTACACGCACGTAGACTCTAAGGAAGTCCTACTTCGAGACTGGATTTACCAGACTGTATATATATTATTATTGCTACTAACCACGTTTCTGGATCTACTAACCGTATTACCAATTGTATTATTGTGTAAATACATTTATTTGTTATGTTTCATTCCTCCGTTTGTAATTCATTGGAAACCGAATTTCATCTCGGAATTCACAACAATAATGATTCGGCACTTGTTTACTCTGGGTTTTATTCAGGCGTCAAATGATCCGACCTAGTAACGTCTTTAATCTACAGATGAAGATTTTTCTAGTCCCGATGCCCATGTCTATAGATACCTCCTCTTGCTTTTATGTAGTTCTGCTCAGTTACTTCTCGCCATCTCAGTACTAACCGGCCAGGAAATTTTTTATTCATTACCACCCCGTGCAAGGCAGTAAACTAAGACACAAAGGGTTATAGGGTGTGGATAAATTAGGAAACAT